TGCCGCCAGCGGCCTGGGCTTAAGTCGGGCCTGTCCCCCTGGAGGGGGATTTTCGACGAAAAACAACAAAACATTGTACAAATAGTTCAAAAATACTCAAAAAATTGTCTGGGAACAATTTTTTAAATATTTTTTGGCCACTCTGGGGCATTTTTGGGGTATTTTTTATTTTTCGTCGAAAATCCCCCTGTAAGGGGACAGGCCCGACCAAAGCCCAGGCTGTCGGACGACCTGCGCTGTCGGAAGGCCGCGGCGTCCGGGCGGCTGGCAGAGACCGCTGCCGACGTCACCGCGGCGCGGTCCTGCCGTGCCCGGCTTCCCGGCCTTCTCCGCGTGCCGGCCGGGCGGCTCCTCTTCGCACCTGCTCTCTCGTCGCCGCCGTCGCCGTCCTCCTCCTCGTCCTCCTTCTCCTCTTGTCGTCGTCGTCCTCCTCGCCGCCGTCGCCGTCGCCGTCGCCGTCGCCGTCGCCGTCGCCGTCGCCGTCGCCGTCGCCGTCGTCGTCGTCGTCGTCGTCGTCGTCGTCGTCGTCGTCGTCGTCGTCGTCGTCGTCGTCGTCGTCGTTATTGTTCTCGTCCTCGTCGGCGTCGGCGTCGTCGTCGTCGTCATCGTCGTTGTCGTCTTCGTCTTTTCCGCTGCTCGCACTGCCGCTCTTCAACCGTTTGCAGGACCCGTGGATGCTGGCCGACACGCTGACATCATTGGTGGTCTTCCCTGTTCTCACGGCGGCAGCTGTCAGAGGCGTGCTAGACCTGCGCCACACGCCGACCTCTCGTTGGACAGGCCCGACAGCCCGTGGGCTCGTCGTCGTCGTCGGCGTCGTCGCTGAGGTTCGAGGTTGTCTGGACGGTTTCGTTTCATTTGGTGCGCCTGGAGCTTTCCAGAGACCTCTGGTGAGCTCCAGGGACATCCAGAGACGACGAATACTTACACGCAGGACGCAGAATAACAAGCCCACGCAGCAACTAGTCATGAACGTAGCAATCGCAACGAGGAGCCGCGCCTGGGGCTCCAGGCGTCGGCCTGTTGCCGTTGCACCTCCCTCGAGACCAGACGTCGTGCAAAGATCACGGCGTTGTAACACAGGTCGCAACCAGAGCTTCTGACTTTGCATTTGTGAGGGATTCCACCCCGAGCACACACCCCTCAAGCGTTTCGTGCTTTCAGGGAGTTCCAACTACGACCCCAGTGGGAAAGTCCTCATGACTTGGGCTCGTGTGCGCCGTGGGCAGCTTCACCTATGCGCCCCAGTGAGAAAGTTCGCATGCGCCCCCGTGTCGATTATCCGCAGTTTCCTGCGGTAGGCTCGGGGGTTCCCGCAGATCCAGTGGGCCCGTGTGGGCCTCCAGTCTCCTCCTCCTCCTCCTCCTCCTCCTCCTCCTCCTCCTCCTCCTCCTCCTCCTTCTCCTCGAGAGCGGTGTGCGAAAGGTTGCGCGGGGCAGCATTCAGGAGGGAAGATAGCCAGCCAGGGTCGCCGGTGGAGTCTCTCAGACAGCTGCAGCAGCGCAGCAGCAGGACTTGTGCTCGTAGTGCCAGGGGCAGGGTGGTCCGCTGGGACAACGGGTGGGCCAATCAGTTCGACCCGGACGGCTCCAGAGATCGCCAGCTCCTGCGTTCTCTCGCTCCCTCTCTCTCTGTCTCCGCCTCCCGTCTTGCCTTGGCGGCAAAGATAAGGTGTTTGTGCGCTGATCTTCCAGTCTTATGCGATAGTTTGCCAGCGTGACGTGACACCTATCCCTATCCTTATGTTTGGTATCCTTCTACCTTGGTGCCGGTCTTCCTAGATTCTGCGGGCACGCTTTTGATATTGCCATCTCCATGGGCTTGCCGATCTTGGGGATAGGGATCAGTTCGAGGCTGGTTAATGGTTCAGGGATCCGCTCCGTGGGGCGCCTTGTCCACTCACGCTCGTGGTTTCTCCCCCCGCAGGATTTGTGAAAAGGCCTGGGGGAGGGCCCGCCCCGTTTTCGCAACACCGAAGCGCTGGACACACGGACCGCCTTGGGTTCAGCAGGGGCACGCTGCTCCTTGGGCCATTCCGTACTCCAGATTTCGTAATTTGAGGGAGTTTCTGTGGAAGGCGCGGTGCCCAGAGGAGCCCAGAGCGGCCTCCGGCACCGTTTCCGGACAGATCCGGTGGATCCGGTGGATCCGGTGGATCCGCCGACGAATCCCAATCCGGCGCCCTCGCTTGAGACATCCTCACAAAACCGGCCCCGGGGGAGGTGCCCAGAGGAGCCCAGAGCGGCCTCCGGCACCGTTTCCGGACAGATCCGGTGGATCCGGTGACGAATCCCAAACCGGCGCCCTCGCTTGAGACATCCTCACAAAAACGGCCCCGGGGGAGGTGCCCAGAGGAGCCCAGAGCGGCCTCCGGCACCGTTTCCGGACAGATCCGGTGGATCCGCCGACGAATCCCAAACCGGCGCCCTCGCTTGAGACATCCTCACAAAACCGGCCCCGGGGAGGTGCCCAGAGG